GGAGAAAAAAAAAGGAAGGAAAGAAGGAGGAAGCGAGAGAGAAATGGATTTTTAGAACAAGTATAAACTGCCCAGTTCTGCCACAAGCCTCACCATTCCCTCATGTCTTCCCCTGGCAGCTCCCCACATTCTGTCATGTGTTTGACCCCTAAAGGCCGTAATTCCCAAATCGGCCCAACTTTATTTTGTAGATAAAGACCTAGAATCCAGGAACAGTTAATGACTTGCCTAAGGTAACAGATGTTTGTCAGCCGAGCAACAATAAGAGTCAGTGACCTGGCTCCTAGTTCCACATTCTCTTCCTCTGACTACATCACACTCTTCCACAAATTCAATCTAGAGCCCGAAACACCAAAATGTTGAAATAGGGGGCGTCGGCATATAAAATGATTTAGGTCAATGAGCAACCACTGAGCAACACTGGCCGGGACCCAAATTATATTTAAAGCAAATGAACGAGGAAAAAAATGAGGGACTAGCATGGAAAATGGTGAAAACATTTTGCATTTTTATGTGGCTACTTCCTGGCTGAATACACAGTAAATGAAGGGCTGTTAGCAATGACTGAATGTACGGTTATTTAGAAACCAGAGCAATAACTTGTGAGGAAAGACCAAGAATGCTGATTAGCTTTTTCTCTGCTCATGAACCAGGCAAGACATTTTGGGGAAGTGATAGCAAATAGACAAAACCAAGCCAACAAAACCAACACAAAAGAACTTGAACTTGCATTTTATCTGATTGCATAATAACAACATAATTCTCAAGTTATTAGGCACCAACACTCAAAATCATGAAATTCCCCATATAAAATAATGCCACCATACGCTCCTCAGAAACACACATTTTGACTTGAAGGAAGATCCTATTTAAAAGAGATAATTTATAAGTATGAAGTGAAGAACTTCTAACTATGCTTTGTGTCAAAATTAGCTTTTTTGTTTCTTTCCACGAGTTGTTATATAAGCTACATAAACATAAAAATGCTATTAAAGCCTGACCAGTTTGGCTGAGTGGATAGAGCGTCAGCCTGCGGACTGAAAGGTCCCAGGTTCGATTCCAGTCAAGGGCATGTACCTTGGTTGCAGGCACATCCCCAGTGGGAGGTGTGCAGGAGGCAGCTGATCGATGTTTCTCTCTCATCGATGTTTCCAACTCTCTATCTCTCTCCCTTCCTCTCTGTAAAAAATCAATAAAATATATTTTTTTTAAAATGCTATTAAATAGGTAACAAAGTCCTGAAAACCCATGAAAATTCAGGTGCCACTTCTTGATTCATTGTTAAAACTATCACTAAAGTTTTTTGTTTTGGGGTTTCTTGTTTGTTTGTTTGTTTTAAATACTTTTATTGATTTCAGAGAGGGAGGGAGAGGGAGAGAGAGAGAGAAACATCAATGATGAGAGAGAATCACTGATGGGCTGCCTCCTGCATGCCCCACACTGGGGATCGAGCCCGCAACCCACGCATTGCCCTGACCAGGAATCGAACCATGACTCCTGGTTCATAGGTGGATGCTCAACCACTGAGCCAAGCCAGCTGGGCTAAAGTTTTTTTGTGTGTTTTTTTTTTAAGTTAACTTTTTTCTTTGCTTTATGTCTGTTCTTGATTACCAGTGTTCTATTTTATACTGTTAGCACACTAAATTTCAAATTTGTTTTAAAATGTATTAGCTTTGAATAAAAACTCTTCATGGGTATTAAACATAGTACTATAACATTAGTTTGAAACTAACCACTGCATTAAAATGCCTAATATTAAATGGCCTCTGATGCTTACATAAAAATTCAAAATAAGATCAAAGAAGGACAAACATTAGGAGTCATTTATAATGCAAAACAAAAATTTTTTGCCAACCTCAAAAATTAAACAAAATCACTCATATTATCATTGTGCACTGCATTTTTCTTTCTTTCAAATAAAAAGTTAGCCTGACCGGCGTAGCTCAATGGTTGAGCATCGACCTATGAACTGGGAGGTCACAGTTGATTCCTGGCGGGGGCAAGTTCCCGGGCTTGGACCCCAGTGGGGGGCGAGCAGGAGGCAGCCGATCTGTGGTTTTCATCACTGGTGTTCCTATCTCCCTCTCCCTCTCCCTTACTGTCTGAAATTAATTTTTTTTTAAAGTTAGAAGTGATTATTTCTGTATCTAACCTTTCTTGAAACATGAATAGGGTGGATACCTTCATTAAGACCAATCCTTTTACTCTTGCAGTGTGGATACTGAGAATGTGGGCAGTTTTTAATGCTGCTGACGATGGGGACAATAATGAATAACTCTTACAAGGTTTAGAGTCACTTGAAAATAAACTTTCTAATCTCCTTGAAAAATCCTTCCTTTGCTGCAAGTACCGAGCATAAAGAGCAGCTAACATTTAATGAGTGCTTCTTAGCGGCCAAGCACTGATCTTTACCCTCATTTTCTACCAGAGTAACCTGTAATTATTTTATTTGTTTGTTGTCTTAATCCAGGGGCTCCAACCGGACAGGAATTTTGTCTAGTTACTTATTGTATCCCCAGCACCTCGTATGCCTAACAGATAGTAGGCACTCAATTAATAAAAGGCCCTGGCCGGTTTGGCTCAGTGGATAGAGCGTCATCTCGTGGACTGATGGGCCCCAGGTCCGATTCCAGGCATGTGCACGGACCTCAGTGGCAGGTTCAATCCGCAGCCCTGCGGGCTGGGTGCGGGAGGCAACAACTGATGTGTCTTTCTCACATCAATGTTTCTCTCTCCATCTCTCCCCTTCCCTTGCATGATCTCTAAAAATCAGTGGAAAAATATCCTCAGGTGAAGATTGATAAAATAAAATAAATAAATGAGTCAGCGTTCTATATGCATTAAATAATTTTTTAAACTATTGGTCATGCTCTAGAGCAGGGGTGGGCAAACTTTTTGACTCGAGGGCCACAATGGGTTCTTAAACTGGACCGGAGGGCCAGAACAAAAGCATGGATGGAGTGTTTGTGTGAACTAATATAAATTCAAAGTAAACATCATTACATAAAAGGGTAAGGTCTTTTTTTTTTTTAGTTTTATTCATTTCAAACAGGCCAGATATGGCCCACGGGCCGTAGTTTGCCCACGGCTGATCTAGAGGGTTAAGAAAACACAATACAAAAACACAATAAAAATAGAATGGTTTACTCTAGTAGAATATTCATTAATGAAACTTTTCATTTAGTATATATACATATCCTATATAATAAAAGGCTAATATGCAAATTGACCGAACAGTGGAACGACCGGTCGCTATGACGTGCACTGACAACCAGGGGGCAGATGCTCAACACAGGAGCTGCCCCCTGGTGGTCAGTGCGCTCCCACAAGGGGGAACGCCGCTCAGCCAGAAGCCAGGTTCACAGCCGGCAGGAACCTCTCCCGCCTCTGCGGCAGCACTAAGGATGTCCCACTGACGGCTTAGGCCCACTCCCCACCTAAACGATCGTCGGACATCCCCCGAGGGCTCCCGACTGTGAGAGGGTGCAGGCTGGGCTGAGGGACGCCCCCGCAGGGCACGAATTTTCATGCACAGGGCCTCTAGTACATATATATGTAGGTATATATACACACAAATATAGTGTATAATCCCATATAAAATGTATTTCTTACTGATGAGAAACAGTAAGAAAAGTCTGAAAATGATTGCTTTACACGGATTACTTCATTTGCTCCTCACAATAACCCTGTAAACACCACCATAACTGTCAAATAACAGAACCAAAGTTTCTAGATGTTATTATATCATGATGTCCAAGATGAAAGACTATCTACAAGTATGGACTTCTATAGATACTCATTCATTAGTACTACACTAAGAAAATCTAAATGAACTAAATGAGGTTTCAGTCATAGTAATTATGACACGATGAATAAAGGAAAACAGGCTTTTCAAAGGAGCCTGGCTGAATCTAACACCTGGCTCTGTCTCTGTGTGGGCTTTGCCCTAACTTCATGTCTTTACAGCTCCACTTCCCCATGTGTAAAGTAAGAATATTCGTAAGTTTGACGTTTTAAATGATTTAATGTATGTAAATAGCCTAGACCAGTGGTCGGCAAACCCCAGCTCGTGAGCCACATTCGGCTATTTGGCCCCTTGAGTGTGGCTCTTCCACAAAATACCACGTGCGGGCGCGCAGGTACCGTGCGATTGAAACTTCGTGGCCCATACGCAGCAGAAGTCTGTTTTCGGCCTGGGTGAGTCTATTTTGAAGAAGCGGTGTTGGAAGAAGTGGTGGGTGTCAGTCGGTGGGGCGATGGGAGACCCAGCACAGGCGGGCCTCGGGATAGGCAGCAAGGGGAGGTGCGCCTGATTCATGCAGAAGTTGAGGATGGGAGAGTTGGAAGGGGTCGACCTCAGCCAACGTACCTCAATCAGATTGAGGACGTTTGTAGCAAAGGCCAGCTTAGGAGGACCCTAATTAAGTTCATAACAATGTACCTACCTATATAGTTTAAGTTTAAAAATTTTGGCTCTCAAAAGAAATTTCAATCGCTGTACTGTTTGATATTTGGCTCTGGTGACTAATGAGTTTGCCGACCACTGGCCTAGACCACTAAATAAAGCTGCTGTGATGAAAATAATTATTGGTGTTGTGTGTTGTTCCTGGTCCAATAAATCCCATTCAATCCCCTACTCCGTAACTTGCATGTGTACAAAGTATGAATTAGGAACTTATGAAAGAGCAAAGTGTGGGAACTGGGCAACAGTGGCCTCGAGCAGAGCCGTGCAAGAGTTTCTGCTGGCGCTGGACAACAAAGGTGCTTAAGTCAACATCAGGGAGTTGGACAGGTGACCCAGGGAATCAAGGGAAACGCCATTGGTTAATAGTAAAAGCAAACTTTCTCCCTCCCTCAAAAATCACAGCAACACCCATCTTCTTCCTCCGCGTCCTGGCTGGGGTGGGGCCCGTTGGGGTGTTAGGTCAGGCACCTGGCCAGCTCCCGCCCACCAGGCCCTGGTCCCCTGGGGGTAAGGCGCGGGGTTCAGGGCAACTCACCCCGGAGACTCAGCTGGTATTGCCCCAGAGACTCCTCCAGGTTGGAGTTCTCCAGGGACTTCTCCATGCGCAGACTCGGGGCCCCGCGAGAGGAGTGAGGTGGGACAGTGTCCAGGGATCCCCTCTCCGAGGACAGGAGGCCTTGGCGCCCCAGCAGGACCCGCCTGCTTCCTGCTGCGGCTGTCAACGGGGAGCCTGGAACCCCACTCAGAGGGTCTCAGACTTCCCACCCACTGGCCCTCCTGGTGGATGACGGGACTTGTGGTTCACAGACTGCGGGCTTGCAGCCTCGACTTTCCCGGGAGCCCGTCCAAGGCCACTACAATTCCCAGAGGGCACCGCGCCCCGAGTACACAGGCTGCAACGGTTCGCTGGCCGGATCCAGTTGCCAAGGGACTGTTAGGAGGCTCCGCCCTTTTCCTGGCTTAGTCCTGCCTTCATCCCATCCTGCTGTTGGACCTCACCCTACTGACAGCAAGGCCTGGACCCTTCGACATGTGCATGCAAGCATCCGAGCCTTGAAGCTTCTCAAAGACGCAAATAACAAGCTCTGCACTCTTCACGACGTTTGTCAAAAACGGCCAAATACATTCTCAAGAGAAAGCAGCTCTAAACATCTCCCAAAGAGCCTAGATTGTGAAAGGCGGCTCACACTACAACTCCAAGCATGCCCAGCAACCCGACCTCCCCTTGGAGTTGGCGCACTGCCCGCTGGGAACTGTAGTCCCTGTGAGTTGCGGCGCCCGCTAAGCCCGGGGTCCTTCTTCATTGTTCCAGCGGGTCTTGGAGGCACGCGTGCGCAGTAGGACCTGGGAAAGCCTGCGGGAGACCCTCTGCACAACCCCTTTCATTGTCTGCTCCTGGCGCCTGCGCAGTGAGAGGCCGCCGGGTCGGAGCCGGAGCGGGGATAGGGCCGGGCTCCTCGCCCTTCCCCAGGCGCCTGCGCACTGGCCGCCGCTCCTGCCGTTACCGCTATGTGTGGGGCGTGTGTGGAATAACGTTATCGCCCAGCGGAGCCGAGAGGCCGGGACCTCCATCGCAGCCACAGCGACGACGACGACAGGGTGCGGGGAGGACGGCGTGCGGAGACTCCCGGGACGCGCCGCGCCCCGCCTTCCCCGACCGGCGCCTCTCTCCGCGGTGAGGGGTGAGTGATGCGCGCCATCGCCGGGCTTGGGCGCTGCGGGTGCCGCCGCCGCCGCTTTCCACATCCTCCTCCCCGGGTTTGCAGCCCGGGCCGCGGCCTCGGCCCTTGGCGGGGCGGGGGATGCGGGGCGGGGGACCGGGGACGCTTCCCGGATGCTCCGCGCTGTGCCGCCACCCCCCACGCACCCGATCGGGGGGTGGCCGGGCGCCACTGCATCCCAGCCCCCCCAGCCCCCCACCCCCCGGCGCCCCGGGGCCCGCCGCCCCCGCCGCCGTATGGAATCCTGTCCGCGCCCTCGGCTGGGCTTTGTGCATCCTCCCCCTCCGCCGGGGCCGAGCGGGGGGCGCGGGCGGCGCCGGGAGGGAAGGGCCGGTGCGCGGCCGCTGCCAGGGGTTCCCCCGGATCGGAGCCGCCCGCAGCGCCGACCCCTCTTTGTGGTCGGCTCCGGGCTGTGGGGTGCTCGGCGCGGGGAGCCTTTCGGACGCGGCGGGAGGGCGTGGAAGACGGGGTGTCACGCACCCCGCGCCAGGCGACGGCGCCCCGCGCGGCCTCGGCCTCCGTGGAGAAGCCGGGGGGAGGACCCGGCGGCCTCATTGTCCTGCGACTCCGATGTGGGTCCGGGATGGTTTCCTCGCGTGATGGCCCGGGGGGAGCCCGGTCCCGGCGGCGGACCCCGCCCCGGGCGGGAAGATGTGGGGTTTGTGCCCCGAGTCCTCGAAGCTCCTTGGCGGGCGGCCGGGTTTTGTTAAATAAATCGGGGAATGCGAGGTCCTGGAAGACGGGGCGCCAGCGCCCGGGCGAGCACTGCCCAGGCGATCGATGCAAAATGACTGTTTAACGGGGACGACGGGCTGGAGGAAGGGCCGGCGGCGACCTATTGTGTAGCTGGGGAATGAATGCAGCTGCAGAATTGTTTTATTTGTGTGTGTGTGTGTGTGTGTGTGTTGTCTTTTTCCAGTGGGTTGGGTAACGCATGCTACGCTTCTCAGCGAATAGATTAACATTTTGCCTGGTTTTTTTTTCTTTTTTTTTTTTTAAAGCAATCAAAGCAAACCAAAAAATAAAAAATAGACCTGGTACATGTCGATGTCTGAGTTTGCTTATTCCTATTTTTATTCTCTTGATGAAAAGTCACTCCGCTCCGAGCGAAAGGTGGTGCGGCAGATTGCAAGGGTCTCTCTTTCTCAAATGACTTGATCCTTGCAAGCTTGCGATGCTTCCTTGCTCCGACCGACCATGTGCTGCTGGGGTTAAAACAAGCCCGGGGGAAGGAAGGAGGATGCGGAGGGGGGTGGGGGGTGGGGGGGTGATGTGAGCGGGGTTGCGTTATGGGTACAGTATCTAGATCCTCACTGATGAAACCCTTCCTGGGACTGCTTCCAGGATTGAGGCATTCAGCTCAGGAAATAGGACGTTGCAAGTTACAAACCATCTTGCATTTTTTTCCCCGCCCCTCTGGGTGGTGTTTCTAAGTGACCCTAGGGCTGCTTTTTGAGGGCTCCCTGGCTTGGTAGCTGTTGCGTCAGTTCGCTGTTTTAAAACCGAAGAATCTCCGTGCACTTGACTGGCAGAGGGAGACGCTAACATTTGAAAAGTTGACCGACCTGTCTGTGAAACGCAAACTTCCAGGGAAAGGCAGAGGCAAGGGGCGTGTAAGGAGAGCCGCGCTCCAGCCTGGGAGTGGGCTGTGCCTGTCAAGTTCATGGTCACCCCAGTTGTGCTCATCTGATCCTTTGTAATGTGAAAACACTTCTACTGAAACAGAACTTTGGTTTTAGAAATTAACTTAGTGAGGTAGGGAAAGGTACCATAACACGGGTTTTTCATAAAAACAGAACCGTGGAGATTTTTCCCCCCCTGCTACTTGCTAAGTAACCACATTTTAATATTTCCTGACATTCAGTAGTATTTTGTAGTACGATCAGCTCTGTAAACTCGGTTAAAAATAAAATTGCCACAAAAGGACCTGTGAGGCTCATTTTTCATCCATCGATGAGTTATATTATTTTAAGCAAAAATTTACCTTTGAGAGAAAAATCTGTGTTGAACTTTTTACCAAAATTAAATGTATGCTTTCTATTGAGTTGGTTTTAGGATCAGGTGCTTTATGTTGTCCTTTTCATTCTTATCCTTAAATTCTACTTTGCACTTAGTAGACTTTGAAAAATAATTCAATCTTTCTCTTACATTTCAACTTAAAAATAAACTAACTAAAGTAGGTGTGTGGGATTATATTAAATCGCACTTGAAATGTATTTCACTGGTAAATTTCACGGTATTCTAAAATTACCCTGTATGGAAATAAGTAACCATCTGCATGTTTATCTGAGCATTAGAATAGTGAAAATTAGTGTACATTATGCCTATTCATGCAAATATCAGGGTGCTTCAAAATTCTGTGCTTAGTGATTTGGTTTATTTGTCCCAAGTATCAGATTCTTCTTTCCTCTTGACACTGAAAAACAACAACTTGTTTTATTGTTGCATCTGATAGTAATCAGATATGACTCATCTAGTCCTGAATGCTGTATATGTTTAAAGTTGTCAACATGTTTTTTGTTCAACAAAATCTATTTCTGAGAAATAATTTTTGCTCTTTCAGTTAATGAGTAATGTTTTTGTCTTCTCTATAGCGAACACTAGAGGTGTTAAACTATCCTAATGAATACCTTACACACAGCATGATACTAAATTGTCAACTAAAATACCCGTTCAGTTCAAATTATACTGTAAGTGTAACAAAAGAGTAATTGCATACCATCTGAAAGCCCTCCCTGGAGAAATAATGTTGACTGATCATTCCATGTTGATGTGCTTCAGTAAGAAATGGGTTTCCTCTTATGGGGAGAAATCTGAGACCATCTTTATTTCATAACCTTTTGTTAATGACCAAGATTTCTAATAGTCAACTACACTTGGTGGAATGGGTTTTAATTTACTAACTCATATATTCTTGAGGGAAGTGCAAAGCAATGAGTTGGCCAATGTGAGCAATACAAGAGAATAAGAAAACATCTGTCTGGGGGTAAGGTTAATAAAACTGGATATATAGTCCAGTTAGCTGAAATGATTGTCCAACAGCATATTGTAAATTTTTTGGCCAAAATGAACTGATACAGCCAATATGTACTGAAGGGTAAAGCCCACTTTTATGTCGAACAAAAATAGAAAGGAAACTACCAAAGTAAGATTAAAGAAAGCCTTACAAAAAGTACCAACATGCAAATACTAGTAGGGATTGTACAAATATATAAGTGGAAAAGAATCCCAGGCATGCATTAGGTTTGAAAAATGAGACATAGCAGAAAAGTCATTTAAGCATAACAATCATTAATAAGTAAGATAGAAAATATTACTCTTTGGAACACGATATGTATTACATAAATGAGTAATCTATTATGTATTAAGCACTAAGTGCCAGGCAGAGTGTGTGTGTGTGTGTGTGTGTGTGTGTGTGTGTGTGTGTGTGTAATTCATGCAACAGTACTATAAATAAGGTATCATTTTCCAGTTGAGACTATCTGAGAACCAAAGTTAGTGAATAATTTTGTTTTGTGTCACACATTACTAAGGGGTACAACCCATAACTGAACCTTTGTCTTTTTTAGTAGGTTCAAAAGGCAGCATTGCTTCCTTTCTGATTCATAAAATTTTAGACTTAGAGGAGATTTTAGAAGTAATGCCATGTCTATTACTATTATCCCTGAGATGTTATTGAATCCGGCTTCTCCACAAACAGCACTCCCATGAGAAAGTGGGCATAGGATGGCTCACTTCACTTTTGCAAAGTATGGAAAGATCTTACTTAAGTTGAGTTAGTATCTGCTCTGTCTATATTCTGTAACTTCTTCCCGCCGGTTGCAGTTCTGTCTTCATGAGTGAGATGCAGTAAGCTTTGCCTCACTATACTGATCCTTGCTAGGCCTCCTCTTTTCTAAGTTAAATATTACAACCCCTACAACTTCATGTGATATGGTTCCCTTTACCGTTCTCATCTGTCAACTACAGTCAGTTTTGTCAGTGCTATGCTTTCTCTGATCTGGTTCCCTATTTAATTCTGCAGTTATGGTCTGAATATAGTGCGGTGAAATTATGTCTTTCCTTAATTTAAGCAGTGCACTTGGGTTTGCGGTCTCCAATTGTGTTAACTCTTGAATTACAGGAAAGTGAGAGAAAAGATGTTACGTGGCTTTTCAAGTCATAGTTGTGCGCGTCAAGGGATATATATAATATCCTTTTTTTTTTTTTTTTTTTTTTGCGATTCTGATTTCTTCTTTTCTGATGTGAAAATGACCCTTCTTTATGAAATGATAGTGTT